TCCCGCCTGCCACTGCAACCCCGCTCTCCGCCGGGCGTGCGGCGGTGAGCCCTTGGTGGGCTGGGGGCTCCAGGGACGGGCCTGGGAGCCGCTCGGCGGGGTATTTGGTTTTCCTGTCTTGCTGTCTGTTTGAGCTCCTTCGCGGGCCCGTAGGTAAGCTTCATCACAGGCAGAAACGAGAGGAACGGGGAATCGCATTCTTGCTTTAACTCTTTTCATGGTTTGACATAGGAATATATATTTGTGAGGCTTGTTCTCTCTCTGCACAGATGGTTCAGGCTTCTAAGGACTTGTGACGTATTGTCGCATAGTAGGTGTCTCTTTTCCGTTATTTGTATTAACCTTGTTCTTCCAGTGAAATGAGTAATGGCTGCTGCATGTGTAAGTGAACAACACTATCTGCCCGTGTGCAAACAAGGCAGAAGAATTCAGTTTTTGTTGATGTGTTTTTCAGTGGTGTCTACATCACTTTTTTCAATTTTATTACTAATTCAAGTTCAAGCTTTTTAAGGATAAAGATTTAGCATAAATAGCCTTTGATAGCCCAGAGACATACCTATTGTTCCAATGTGTGCAAGCAGTAAAACAGAAGCCTTGTGCTGTGGCAAGGTACCCAATATGAACTAGTTTCTCCTTGTTTTTCTCTATGTTAAGTTTTGCTGTAATGTATGACTCCAACATCTCTAATACGGAAGATTGTATTCTGATGTAGAATCCACTTGCATGCTAAAATACTAATCCCCCTTTTTTCTTTCCAAACACTTTTATGTGAACATGCATATCAAAGGCTATGAAGATGAATCTCCAATAAGAGTCTTACATGACCTCCATTGTGAAATTAGGACTCTGAAGGTAACATTTTAACTCTCTTCCTTCTTGAAAAGTAGGTAGCAGAGATGTTCCGTAAACTTACGGTTCTGTTTTCATCATTAAGTCACAATACAATTTTGTTAGTCTGCAGTTCTGACTCTTATTTTATTCACTGATCTGTAAGTCCATTTAATGTCTCTAGATGTCAGGGCTGTGCCCAAACACTTTCAGTGGCTTAAAGTCAATCTAGAAGTATTTAGTAGCTTGCAGTCACTGCTGTCCCTCGAATCAGTAGGGGACAAAGGTAACAGGGAAGTTGTAGCTGTGCCAAGGTGTAGGGAGAAGTACTCAAGAGCAGCAGCTCTTTAGGGAAGAGGTATGCTTCCTTGTGTTCAAGGATTATCACTTGCGGTAAAGAAAATCTTCACAAAAGTTTCAGTACCTTCAGCCATTCTGAAGAATGCTTGTTATTTCTTTAATAGAAGTAGGAACAATGGGCTAAAGAAAATAAGCAAGTGTAGAAATAATTGAGAGTTAAGTCTGGGTATAAGCTTGTGCTTTTCTATCTGCTCTGCACTGATTCTTTGTACATAGGGAGTAAAAGTCCAAACTAATTGCTGTTATCCCATTTTTTTTATGGAGTAAAAGCATATATTTTTGTTTGGTTACCAGTGAGTAGCTATCATACTATGAACAGTCATCTTAGATTAACTTTTGTAAGTTTTTGTACACTTATTTCCTCCATTTTCCTGATACTTCATAACCTAGTTTTCAGGTATAGATAAGAACTAAATTTGCTGCTTATGCTCATCTGAAGTTAATACTTACTCCTGAAACACTCCATGTGTGAACAACCACCATGTGGTGATTTGAAAACCAATATTTTTTTTTCCCTCCCACCCTGTGTCCCCAAAGGAAAATGTTAATGCCAGTCTTGATAAGAGTTGCTCTAAAAAACAAGCGATTCATGACTTTATGAAGGCAAGTGAAATACTGAGACAAAGAAATGCAGCAGATCTTGGAAAAATAAGAGAGCTGTTCCAGAAATATGGCTACAAACCACCTGTAAAAGACTCTACAGGTAATATTTCTTGGCAATACATGTGGGAGGACAAATGTGATTTTTGTAAAATTTTTTTCTTTAGCTATGTGTATATTTCTATTAAATCTGATATCAACTACATCTATGTTATCTGCTTTATAATAACATCAAGGGTAAAAGATCCTTTTTTGACTGGTGCCTAAGAATAAACCATAACAGTTAGACCTCCTGGCATGCTTCTAAGTTAGTGTGTGGTTTGCTTTTTTTCCCCAGTAATAGTTATATTCAGAAAACATGCTAGCAAACATGTTTTCATAACCCAGAATTATGCTGCCCCAGCTTCTTGTGCGTGGGGAACTGTTGTAGATGCATCTAAATTAGTTTGTAGTCACGTGGTGATTCTGTTAACCTAAATCATAGAGAAAATACTAAACCAGTATACAGCAGAGGAGATGGGAGAAGCACGTATGGGGAATCAGGTGACACATGACAAGCAGTGGTAGCTTGATCACTGGAGGAGGGAAGATCTTTAATCCATTCAGAAAGCACACACAGACCCGTGTGGAAAATCTATACGTGCCAAATGAGTTGAAAATGCAGCAGCTGTCAGTCCTATGCACACTCCTCTTGGTTTCAAGGGCCAATCCATCTTCAAGAAGCCTTTGGCAGGATTTGTCTTCCCCTGAGCCTTACCCAGTTGTTACACAAGGTTGTGGGCCACATTCAGTCACCTCTGGATTAAGCTACTACAGCTGTTCTACAACAATGGAGCAGAAGGCTTTTGGTATCATAGAATCTTCCTGTCCTGTTGCTGCCTTTAAAGAAGACTCCAAACGCAGCTATGAGGTTAATTTATTTTTTAAGATGTATATTTAAGCGTATGTGAATATATAATACCAATACACATGAGAAGGTAATGCCCCTGCTGTGTTATTTTTAATAGTGCTTTTTTTCCTTCCTCTTTCTTTTTACTTTGTGCAGAAATTCACAAATAGTTTGAGGTGTTTCAGCTGAAAGAAGCGTGCAGCAAATTGTTTGCATGTTTCTGCGGTGGTCTTGGGTTGTTACCTAAAAAGCTACCCTCTTTCGTGAGTTTTTGTTGCTGCCTCAGAACCTTTTTTAAATACTGCTTTTCTGAAAAATGAATGTTCTAGTACTGTGTGTGGCCTTTGCTCTCTGCCCAGAACCATTTTCAGTTCTACTCAAATTGTTTTCATTGTCATTTTTTCTACATTTTTGATGAATTTCCACTCCTGCACTGATATAAAAACAAATATATTTAAGATTAGCCCTTCCTGCCTGCTCTGTGGAGGGACATGAATTCTATTAAAAATATGCCTATATAAAAATCTTTCAATTTCATTCTCCCTAGAAATAGTATTTACCAAGAGAGTAAAAAGCAGTAAATGTGACCTTTGTCATAAATATAGCTTAGTCTGACAGGAGCTTTTGATTTCTGCTGTAACTTGTCCTGGTTTTGTCTGGGACAGAACTAATGTTCTTCCCAGTAGCTGGTACAGAGCTGTGGTTTGGATTTATTGTGAGAGTAGTGATAACACACTAATGATTTGTTGTTGCCAAGTACCATTTACCATAAGTCAAGGACTTCTCTGTTTCCCGTGCTGTGCCAGCAGGGAGGTGCACGAGAAGCTAGGAAGGGGGCGTGGCCAGGAGAGCTGACCTGAACTAGCCCCAGGGATGTTCCATACCATAGAGTGTACTGGTTGGTGTATAAACTGGGAGGGATTGGTGCTTGGGCATCGGGCAGTGGGTGGTGAGCCACTGCATTGTGCATCACTTGTCTTTTTGGGGTTTTATTTTTCCCTTCTTATTTTCCTTTTCATTACTATGATTATTATTCTTAAATTTTATTCTTGTATTTTTATTGCTATTATTAGATTTTAGTTAAGCTATTCTTCTCTGAAGCCAGAAGTCCTGCCCTTCTTTTATTGCCCCATGGGATGAAGGGGAGTGAGTGAGTGGCTGCGTGGTGCCTTAGTTTCTGGCTGGAGCTAAGCCACAACATAGCTTCAGGTTCTGTGCTTTAAAATGAAAGAAGGAATCAGGTTTTTTTACTATAGTAAATAAAAAATGTTGAATTGGGAGGGAAGCCCCATTTTATGTTATAAATTCTTAAAACCAACTTCTGATGTAATTATTTTTGTTGCTTTCTTCAAACAGAAGAGAAGGAAGAAACAGTTAAGGGTGATTTGACAGCGTCTGTCCAGAATAAATCGGATGAAGAAAAAGCAGACCTGCCAGCCTGTGCCAAGCAGCCACTGGCGCCCAAGGACCCGCTGCGCAGCCCCCAGCTCGCTGATTTTGGGCTTTCCCAATACGCCTTCCCCAGGGCTTGGAGTGCAGGGAGAGGACAGCACGCAGCGAGCGCCTATCAAGAAACTTTAAAGAACAGGACTCCACTAAAAACACACACCCCCTGTGTTTTGCCCAAAACGCCAAAATGCATGCTGAAGATGGACGATTATGAGTGTGCAACACCAAAACTCGAACACTTTGGCATTAGTGAACACACCATGTGTATGAACGAAGACTATACGATGTCGCTTATTTGCAAAACGGCTCAGGCAAGCACAAAGTGAGTCAATTACTTCAGATTTTCTTTCTCCACTGAGTTTTCTGTAGTTTCTTATTGATCTACTAATTTCTTGCTGCTATTGCCCTTCTCTCTTTCTTGAAGCAGGTGATCTTTTATCACCTATCTGGTTAGTCCTGTCTGTATTCAACTCTGTGTCTTTTCATGTACCCTTTGCAATGCCAGACACTGCCAAGTAAATACTCATTCCCTCAGCTGCACCATGATAAACCTGCTCCATGTGCAACCTATTTGCAAAGGGGAAATGGAGTGTATGGGTGATCTTTTGCTTTCCTTTACCTTGGATTTGATTACATGTTGTCTGCAGTAGATAATACATAGTCAGTTTAAACTTTCCAAAAGCTTTAGGAACCTGTAAAAATTCTGAATTGTTCCATAAAAAGCATCTTACCTCTTATGTTGTTGTCTTTTCAAACAGAAGACTGCAGGAAAAAGCTATCTCCAGGTTTTCACTGTTCTAATTAAAATTAAAGAAAATCATTTGCAGCAATGAGATGTAGAGTGCCTCAGCAGAAGTTTTTCTATACTTTTAAGGTAGTGTAAAAGGAATTAAGAATGTTTTTACAGTTAATATTTGGCAACACATTCCATTTTAAAAGCTGACAGTAATTAAAAGATCTCATTGCTCTGCAACTTATTTAGTGTTTAGATAAATTACTCCAAAACCAAGAACCATATTCAAAAGAAGCTGTGGAAATAATCAACTTTTTTAACATCTTTGATACTTGCAGTATAGGCACAGGTGTGAAGTTCTTCAGAACCATGCCACCTGAACTGACTTTGTCCCCCAAAGATCCAGTTTACTGCAATAGTTAAATTTTGGGTGTGTTTTTAATTAAGATTACAGGGGGGTTGGGAGGTCAAAGTGAAAAGACATTTTCTTTTAAAGTAGTTGTGGGATTTCTCCTATTGAATAGTTCTGTAAATATTGTCTATAAAGCTCTAAGTATCGGAGTTATAATTAAGAAGAATACTTACTGAATCCTGAAAGATACTAATTCAAAAATCATTCACTCTCAAAAGAGCTTCAGCTTTTCACACAATTTGAGTTCCTCTGATATTGATACATGTTTGTGGTATTGTACTACTTTTCCTAATTAATGAAAACTGGTTTAAATATGGTCGTCTTCTTTAATTAGAGATGTAATTTATAAATGGATACATATACAAATCTAGGTTCTATTTCTGTGGCTTCTACTGAAACAGTCCACTGGTAATATTTATATATAATACACAAAAAAAATCATGCTAGCAGTCTTCCATACCCCTAATGATATTAAAATTCTGTAGAGAATTAATTATGATGTGATTACTCTTTATTGACTGATTGTCATTATTAATGACCAAAACAGATGGGCACACCCTAATTAAATAAGCTTCATATGGATTCAGAATTAGTGGCATATGAGAGATCATGACATATTAAGTCACCGGAGTTAAGATTTTGTTTAACTGTCTTTTAGCTTATTTGTGGTGTTTACTTTATAACATTAGAGTTAGCTTTTGGTGTGATCAGGAAGGTTGAAACAGTTAAATAGCTTCTTACCTCCAAAAGGCACTCATCTCACCTCTTGGTGAGAAGCTCAGCCTGTTAAATGGGCACAACACTAAGCCAGCAAGTATGTTATGAAAAAAAAAATTTCACCAGATAATGGGCAGAATCTATTCCATGAGCATCAGATAAGAAGAAACAAAGGTACAAATGGGTCAGCCTGATGCCTGTGGTTTCCTGGAACAACAGCAGGTCATAATTCTGACTTTCTTGGAGACCAACCACCCTGCCCTTTTGTATCCCTTTCTTGTCCCAGCCAGGTCTTGTACCTAGCTGAAATCTGTCTAGCAGCCGTGCGTTGTGTGAAAACCACCTTGAAAATTAGTCTCAAAGTTCTCAAAAATGTTTAGTAGGCCTCAAGTCTTCCAACTTTGTTTTTCAAGTTTTCACTTTTGAAGCAGGTGAAAAGAACAATATGCTTCAGTGCACCTACTATGAAACCAGAACCACAAGTAAGTGGGAAAGAGAAGAATCATAGAATCACAGAATGTCTGGGCTGGAAGGGACCTCCAAAGGTCATCCAGCCTAACCCCCCTGCCATAAGCAGGGACATCTCCAACTAGCTCAAGCTACTCAGAGCGTCATCCGGCCTGATCTTGAATGCCCCCAGGGGTGGGGCCTCCACCACCTGTCTGGGCAACCTATTCCAGGGATCTGTCACCCTCATACTGAAGAACTTTTTCCTAATGTCTAACCTAAATCTCCCCTTTTCTAGCTTAAAGCCATTACCCCTCATCCTGTCACTACAGACCTTTGTGAATAGTCCCTCCCCTGCTTTCTTGTAGGCCCCTCTCAGGCACTGGAAGGTCTCTATAAGAAGGGAGGGAAGGTATCTGAACAAAAGTGTTTGTAGTTATGCTTGTTCTTATCTGCTGTAAAAACTAAAAATCACATATTGTTTCAGATACCTGTAATAATGCCAAGGCAAAGATGATTTGGAACATTCTTTTTTTTTAAAACTCAGTGTTTGAGATGTGTTTGCCTAAGTAAAATATGCTGACTCAAATGGTGGGTTTTTTTAAGCTTAGGTTTTTTGTAGAGATGATTTAAATCTGATTCTCATAGTTATGACTTTAAGTGTTTTAAAAGGGTTTTTATAGATACTTATGTCAAGTTTAGGTAAGCTTCCATTTTTTTTGTCTCGTATTGCCTCTTAGTTGCCCACACGTTTTTTTCTATTAGACTATCTTGCATTTTAAAAAATAATTTTAAAATTTTCTATTTTCAGTTTTGTGGATTGATATTAAATGGCTTGAAGTCAGCTAGTGATTAACAGAAGTGATCTTAATCAAACTAAAAGATTATTAATTCATTCTTTGAGAGTTCACAATAACATTAGTAGGTTAAGAGCCATAAAGGTTTCTTCTTGTCATTGAGAATTTTGTAGGCAGCAGGCAATTAAAAATAAAATAGACTACACAGAACTGATCTTCTGGGACAAAGAATATTGATCCTATCCTGGATACCTTTGGGGGGATGTGTTATGCTTTTGAAATCTCAGTGTATATGATAATTTGTGGATGGGCTGAACATCTGCATGCAGTAGTGTTGCTGCTGTAGAATCCTTGATGAAAAATCTTAAAAGTCATCTTTGAGGAAATGAATTTTTGGCTTGCATGTTGATGAACAAATACTAGAATACTGTCAACCTGATTATTTTTCCTTTGGTTGTAATTGCCTTTTTTAACCTGAGAGCTAATTGAGGGGTTTGGTTTTCAGGTTGGTTAAAGATGTTCAAGAACTGAAAGTACGAGAAATGAGATCCAGGGAAGTCATGGTCACTCCTCAGCCAAAATCAAAAGTGAGAGCTGAGAATAGTAAGTTAAATAAATGTGGCATATACATAAGCATTTTTTATGTAATGCATCTGTAAGCACTTCATAAATGTGATAAATTTTAAACAGTTTCTTGTTAAATATAATTAATTCAGGCTCAGTCACTGTATGAGTACCAACGTCTAGAAAGTGAAATATTGGTGGCTTCTATGGGAAAGTTTTCCACTTTGGTATAAATCTTATTCTGCTCATATCCTTCTAGACTCATACAGAGGGATCCACCATTTTGTAACTGAAACATCCTTATTTGAAATAAAAATACTGGTTTGACAACTTTAGCTTTTTCTTCCAAGAATACCCATTAATCTGTTTAAAGGTGGGAAAGAAACTGCTTTGAAAGAGGCTAACAAGCCAGTAACTTACATTTTCAAGAGCAGTGCTACAAGTTTTGAGAGAAGATGTAATATGTTCTTTTGAAAATGTGTGAAGATCTTGGGGCAAACATAGTGACAACTGAATATATAAGAAGCTAGAGCAATGCTGATTTAAGCTGGGCTTCTTCAGCTTTGTTCAATAGTGAGACTAGACTTATTTATTTGTTGCATTTGCAGCTTTTACAGATTTCTGTAATTTGGAATGTTCTTCATATGAAAAATATCAGTGAAAATGATACAGGTGTCTTAGATGCACATCTATGAAAAGCTGATAGACTTAGAAAATTAAACTTAGGTGTATGTGTGAGTCTACATATGTTTTTTTATCTCCTGCCCTTAATTTCAGCAGCTGATTGGATGGCTTCTCCTATGGTACTTGTGTTCTGTACTCCTGATGTGAAAGCTTCTTCCAGTACAAGTAGAACAGTATTATCGAGGTCACCAGAAACAAAAGAACTGCCTCCTCCCAGTCACACAGAAACACCACGGCTTCCAGATTTTGAAACAAGATGGCTAAAACCAGAAGCTAAGGTAGTAAAGAGCAATTATGTGTATTTTTACACACTTGTTACCAAAAATATTTTTGAAATGTCAGTTTGGGATTTCTTGCCAAGACTATTTCTTATGTCATTGTAGATTTTTCTAATAGTAATTTGATAAGAACATTTCTGAAATACTTTACCGAAGACAGGTGAATTAACTGAAGCCATTTAATACCTCTTTTGCAGCAGGTGAAGCAGGAGGAGAAGATTGAGTCAGTGACAAAGAACAATGCAGCAGATAAACAACACACGGGGAATAGAATTCCTTTTGCCGTGAGCTCCGATGAGTACCTTCAACATCTTGGAGACCCTTCACCTCCCAAAATAGAACCTTATGATCAGTTACTCAATACTCCTCCACCTCCAGAAATAACAAGGATACCAGATGATGTTTTACAGGTTAGATAATACACACTTCTTATTTCTGAATAATTCTAATATCAACATAGTAAAAATAAAGGGTTAGTTCTATCAAATTAGCTCTATTAAAAATAAAGTTCTCTGCTACTTATTAAAAACATATAAACTATAATCATGTTTTGAATTCTTATTCTTTTTGTTACTTTTTTGATTTCCTACAGTTTATGTCCAAGTATAATCATAAAGTAGACTACTCTAAAGCAAAGGAAATGGAGACCAAGGCAGGAAATACTACAAGATGTGAAAGCAATTACACTGATTACTGCAACAAAGAGAACAGGTATGACTGTTTTACAAATTTGGTTAAGTAATTTCATTTGGAGGAGCTATGAAGATGCTTTAATGCATTTACAAATTATCTGCTTGCTTTAAAACCACCGAAATAGATCTTGTTGCTGCAACTAAGTAACTATTCTTTAGTGCAATATCTGACTGCCTTTATCATAAAGAACAAATATTGTAATAGGTTGTGTGTTTGAATCCTCCTAACTTAAAAAAAAAAAAAAAAGGTACTTAGTTTTACTGTTTTATCTGTAGGCATATTTTTATTTCATGGCAATCTTGGAACAGAATCTAGTAGAATCATAGAACCTATTGGGTTGGAAGGGACCTCTAAAGGTCATCTAGTCCAACCCTCCTGCTATAAGCAGGGACATCAACTAGGTCAAGCTGCTCAGAACCTCATCAAGACTGACCTTGAATGTCTCCAAGGATGGGGCCTCCACCACCTCTCTGAGCAACTTCCAGGGATCTATCACCCTTGTATTGAAGAACCTTTTCTTAATATCTAGCCTAAATCTACCCTTTTCTAGCTTAAAGCCATTACCCCTTGTCCTGTCACTACAAACCCTTGTGAACAGTCCCTCCTTTGCTCTCCTGTAGGCCCCCTTTCAGGTACTGGAAGGTCGC